ATCTGTAAATAGAACTCAAGAAATAACTAATATATAGAGAAAAGGTTTACAACACTTGATGAATATATTTTTTAAAGATTTCCAGCAGCAGGGTTATGAAAGATGATAATCAGACTTTTATTAATGCTATATAAAAGAAGTATTGCGGAATAAAAACAATGTTAGAAAATTATATTGTACTTCCTCTTTATATTGTATTTCCTCTTTTGCAATGATTCAGAATCAATTCAAGTTAGTGAGAATTTGCTAAAACCCGAACTTACATTGTTTGTAAACGTTTTTTATTTTTTTTATGCAAAGACATTATTGAAAAACATAAAATGAGAAAAAAATCTTGAAAGATCTGTGAAATTATCAAAACAAATCAAAAAAAAGTTTGTTGAATATAAAAGGCTATTTTCATAGTCACAACTTTTTAAAACATTAATGGTATAAGAATGACTTAAACTTTAAAAATTTATGATAAAGTTTATTTATTAAGGTAGATAAAATTTATTAAAAAATGTATATATCATATAATATTTTACAGTTAGAGCAATAAAATTCAGAGTTATAATCGGTTACATATTTATAATCATAGTTTTTAATAATATTATACAGTATGTATTATACTGTATATTGTTTCTTTTGTATTATTTATATTTAATTTTTATTATTTATATTGTATTTGAATAAAAAATTCTGAAATCTCTACCAATTTTGGTTTTTTTGAGAGGCCAAAAAAAAAAAATTAATAAAAAATGAGATTCAGCAAGTAATACAACATCAATTAAGAGTTTGGTGAGGTTGAAAACTGTTTTTTTCCCAGAAAACCAAAAGGATAAAAATCTGTAATTAAAGTTAGGATAATAAGTCAGTATTAAAAGTTGGCAAGTGTATATATATATATATATATATATATATATATATATATATATATATATATATATATATATATATATATATATATATATATATATATATATGTATATATATACAGTGGTGTACACTGGACTTTTAGATGTTTGAGTTTTGACACTTACCGGTATTTTGCAAACTCCAAACTTTTGTATGTTCATGCTTATGCCAAATGAGAATGTTTTGGAAAAAGTTGTGGTGATTGGAGCTTGAGGACAAAAAAAACCCAATTTTCGGGCCCACCCAGCCCTTAATGTGGGAGCAACAAGTTGATAAAATAATTTTTTTAGTATTTTTATCTAGGTTTATAATCATCAAAAAATTTCAAATTTCATCCAATAATTTCTTATTTTTCGAAAATTATGACCATATAAAGTTTTAACCCCCCTCAATTCGAGGGGGCTGTAAACTTTGTAGGGTCATAAAAACTAAAAACTAAGAGGTTGTTGCATGAAATTTGAAATTTGTTAATGAATATAAACTTGGATAAAAATACTAAAGAAATTATTTATCAACTTGTTGCTCCCACGTTAAGGGCTGGGTGGGCCTAAAAATTAGGGTTTTTTTGTCCCCATGCTCCAATCACCACAACTTTTTGCAAAACATTCTCATTTGACATAAGTATGAACATACAAAAATTTTGAGTTTGCAAAATGTGTGTAAGTGTCAAAACTCAAACATCTAAAAATCCAGTGTACACCACTGATATATATATATATATATATATATATATATATATATATATATATATATATATATATATATATATATATATATATATATATATATATATATATAAAAGAAATTATATCTACAATGTTATCTAAAATTAAGAAGTATTTTTTTTCTCACTACTTTGATTAGTTTAGTTATAATAGTTTGGTGAATTGACCCAGAATACATAATTAAGTTGAATTTTGTTGAGGTCAATGATAGTTACAGGAAAGATATTCTATGACTAAATAGCAATGATGTTTTGCAAATGATGCTTTCTTTTGATAATATTTTTTTTTTTTAATTCACCTCCTCAAGGCCGAGAAGGCCACTCTCAACTCTATAACTCCGAAACACAAACCTTGATGAACAAGGCCGCTGCGCGGAGAAACGAGTTGGGCGCGGTACTACCAGGGACATGGTGGGGATCGAACTTGGAACCACTCGTTAATGAAGTGAGCGCTCTACCACTACACCACTACCGCTACCACATATTTTCAGGAAACTGAAAATAGATTTAAGGTAAGGGAGCGTCTAAAATTATGGAGACAAGTATATATAAGTGGGTTACCTAAAAGCATATAATGGAAGGGAGTATTTGTTTTTGTACAACTCCATTGTAAAAAACTGATACCTTATTTGTTCTGATTACTGACAAGTATAAAGGTCAATAGTTTCCTATTATATTTGCATGTAAATAGTTTTTTTTTTTTTTTTTTTTTTTGTCAATTCACATTCTCAAGGCCGAGAAGGCCACTACAGACAAGGAGGCTACTTATTTGCGGTTGTAACCCTCTCTCAACTCTATAACTCCCAAACACAAACCTTGACGAACAAGGCCTGTTTGGGGAGAAACGAGCTGAGCGTGGCACTACCAGGGACCAGTTATAGAAGAAAAGAAAAAGCCACCAAATAGTTATTCTAATTAAGTTAAAATTAAAAGTTTTCATTTTGTTTATGTTTTGAAATTTTGTAGCGGATTGACGGTATTTTTTTTTTTAAAAAATAGCACTAATTTTTATAAAATTTCAAATATAAATTAAGAAAATAAGAATAAATATAATTAATGTATATAAACGACAAATAATGTTTTTAAAATTTTGTAGTTATAGAAATAACTATTTTTTTTTTTGCTTATTTACTTTTAAACTAGTTTGAAAAATTTAGAGCTTAATGTTGTTCTTTAATGTAAATTGACAACTTTTACTTTTATTTTTATAAATTGTTATTGTTGTCATTACATTTAACATTACCAGAAATTTGAAAAACTGAAAACTGTGGCTTGATTGCATTGATATTGTAGTTAAAATCTCTGATATAATATCTTTTCTGCAAATCTTTCAGGAACATTAATTGAACATTATTTTGAGGGAAAACTTAAACAACTTCTTTGAATGAATTTGAAAATCTTTGTAAATTTGTAAAGAAATTAACATTATTAATTTCAAGCTCTAGTCAAAACTTATTTCTTGTTGATCTATAGATACTTTCTACAATTTATATTTTTAGTGATTCAATCAACCAAAAAAATCATCTACTGATTTATAAAGTTTAAAATTTTTATTTTATTTGTTGTTATATTTTCAATGCTGTACTTTAAATTTAAACAATCGAAAAGCATATCCATCATAAAGCAAATTTCTGTATACTTCTGATGATAGTTAAATAAGATGATTCTGGTGGCATAATAAATAAAGTTCTGTGGATCCAGCTGTTTCTGGTAAAAAAAAAATTATGTTTATTTTGCCTTTTTAAAGCTGAACAACCATATATTGCTTAATTTTCACCAGACATCAAGAAAAAGCAATTTCAATGAAAACACAAAACAAACTTGGTAAAATAACACGCAAATGATAACAATAATAATCTTTCTGTGCAGGTTCGGAAGTCTGGAAACAAGAAAAATAGTTTGAAAGAGTTAAAACAATGCGCCTTTGTTCGCTTCCAAACTGTATCTTTCTTTTAACTATGATCCAACTTATTAAAAGTACATCTTATCCAGGGTCCTAAATAACAGGATTTACTGTATTGCCAAAATATCCCAATACTATTGTGATATTTTGATCAGCCCTTTTTAATTTTGCTGCATTGATAGTTACTTTAAAAGTCATGTATTCAACACTTTATTGGCATGAATAAAATAAATAAGAAATTATAACAAAATACACTTTGCCCAAAAACGATGTTCAAAACCATTTTGAGTTAATTATAATAAAACATCAGCCTTAAAATGGTAAATAAAAACATTAAATGTTTAAAGAAGTTTTAAGACAAAAGCTAAAAACAGCAAAATTTGTAATATGATTTTGATTCATCAACATCAAAAACTGATAATTTTTTGTTTCATTTTGTCATTTTTAATGTTTCTACATTTATAAAAAGCATTATAAAAGTTTCTGCATTTATGAAAAGCATGAAGCCTCCTTTTTTCTTAAGTGTTTTTTTTTGTTTATTTGTGGTAACCAAAGAACTAAAACCTTAGATTTTCTATTTTAGCAACATGCTTTTCTTAAAATTGATTTCTCTTCAGTAAATTGTGTACTAAATTTTTTTGATTTAAGTTTCTTTGTCTTGTGGATGTGAAATTCAATTTTAACATACTAAAGGCAAGTAAATTTAATTTTAACATACTAAAGGCAAGTAAAAACACACAAAAAAACAATAAAATGAAAAAAAACTAGTAATCTAATTTGGTTAAAACTTGCTGATAAGAAAGAGGAGTTTTTTAATTTTTTTATATATGCAGAAAAAATTGCAGGTAAAAAGAGTGAAAAAAGGGTAAAATTAATTCTTCAATAGTCAGGAGACTCCTGCTAATTTGAAAAGACTTGAAAGATATGAATCTATCTTTAAGATACAACTTTATTTACACCAATACCATTCAATTAATACAGTTACCCACTGTAAACAAGTGCAAGTGTAGTAAAAAAAGTAAGTAAAGTAAGTGTTAAGTAAAAAAAGTTAATCAAAGGCATAATGAATTTTAAAATTACTAAAGTTATTCAAATTGTGTAAAAAAATTAAAAAGTTTTAATAAAAAAGTTTTCAATAACTTAATTGGAATTGAAATCCCAGTAATGGTTTAACTTTAACTAGTAGTTGATTGGTAAATGGTTTAACTTTAACTAGTAGTTGATTGGTAGATGATTTAACTTTAACTAGTAGTTGATTGGTAGATGGTTTAACTTTAACTAGTAGTTGAAAGTTAAGTGGATATAGTTTACACCAAATTTTAATTATTGTGAAAAAAGAAAACTAATTTTTATACTTAAGAATTTTTTTCACATAGTGTGTCAAATAAGAGCATTTGGGATATATTTATTGGTGGTTTTGAATATGTAAAAATTTTAGTAAAAAATATTTTTTAAAAAAACTTTTAAATTTTTTAGGAAAAATTTGGGTAGAATGGCAGCGTATACCTACTCAAGGTGCTGTAAAATGGACATACTTTCAGGCCGAGTATGGAGAGCCAATGTTAGTTGTGGCAAACTCTAAATCTCAAGCAGTTATTTACACATATGATCCTTTACGTGGAATTTTTAAACCAACTCAATTGCAAGGTAATGGTTCATTTAAATGTGTTACTTTTTTATGAACTGAAAACTAAGAAAGGGTGGCCAGAGTTTCTTCTTTTTTTTTTTGTAGAAGAATGCAGTAAAAAATGAGTTTTATTAAGTTTAAGTACTGTACTCTCCCATTTAAAAGAGTATTTTGTTTAGCCAAACCAAAAAAATGCAATACACTCAGGTAAAAAAATAATTTGCTTATTCAAGCAGTTGTTATTATTTATCATATTTTCCTTATTTGTAGTTTACAGTTTGTTTGTTATTAAGTCTACTATCAACTGTTTTCTTGATCAATAACTTTCTTCTTAGAAGTCAGGTAACTCCCAACCTTGCTTTCATGTAACTATACCTAAGCAATGGTTACTTGCAGTCTTGTAGAGAATTCTTTAAAAGAAAAAGTGTCTAAGTAATTTTTAATAAAACTTTTAGTAATGTTTTAATACTTTTTTTTTACAGTTATAAAACTGTAAATAATTAACATGAATTTTTTTTTAAATAAAAAAATAATTATTTTTCATAAATTATTGTGAAAAAATACAAAAACTGAAGTTAAAAATGTGACAATTGTTGTTGAACTCGAGCTTTTTACAGGCACATTAGAGGATCAAGAACCATGAATAGAGAGAAACACAAAACTAGTGTGTTTTTAATTATATTCTTCAATCTAATCAGCCTTAGTTTGATGTATGCATGATAAAACATAAAGAATTATGAAGAAATATTTTATAATATTTTTATCTGGTGTAGTGTTTCTATCATTTGTTTCACTCTTTTTTGCTGCTCTTTTCAACTTAAGTAGTCTGTCATTTTTTTAACAATTCTTATAGTTTCCTCCCTTTTCCTCCCAAAACATTACAATTATAAAAATGCTTTTTATAATTGTAATGTTTTTACAATTATAAAAAGCATTATACAAATTTCTGCATTTATAAAAAGCATTAAGGCTCCTTTTTTTTCTAAGTTATTACTAATGTAATAAATTTACTATTGTTAAAGTTATAAACCATATATCTTTTTATATTATATATTATAAGAAATATAATATATATTTTTGTATTTAAAAACAAACTAAAAAAACAAAGAAGAAAATCATTATAAAGGAATTAAATTCAAAAACTGCTTTATCAACCAGTCGTCACATTTGATCATAAAAATCTGACATTCCAAACAACATTTTCAAATTTCTGCAAAAATATTTGTTTTGTGGTTGTTGGTACAACTTGAACTGGTAGTAATCTATATACTTTTTTGCATTGCTTATAGTAAAGGTATTACATGTTTACCATAAGAAACTTGAATTGTATATAGTTTACAACACCAAAAGGTATAGTTTACAACACCAAATAATGACCAAGGAACAAATAGAAAGCTATAAAATGACCTAATTGTTTAAATTGTCAGATAAAGATAAGCAATTATTATATATAAACATATTATAAAAATGTAATCTAAAATGGTTGGCTTTGAATTAAGTCCAGAAAGAAAGTAAAAACTTTATTAAATTCCACACGCCAATAAATAAAATTGGTTCACATTTCCTTTTTTACCTTAATATCATTTTATTTTCAGCTTAAAATTTGGTAGTTATTTTACAATGTTGAAAATGTATATTTTACAATATGGAATTTTTTAAATATAATGGACATATCTTATAGTGTTTTTTTTTTTTAATTTTACAATAAATAGATTCTTGAATGTATTTCAATTATCTTGTACAAATCTTTCTTTCTAAATAATTTCCCTTAAAAGCTTCAGATATTAAGTTCTTAGAAACTCTCTAAAGCATTTTTATATAATATTCATTGCTTTTTTTAAAAAAACAAATTTTGGCTATAGTTCACTAATTTCTTTAATCTTTTAAAAAACTTGTTCTAAAAAAGTAAAATTTTAAGATATTTGTTTTTAAATCAGGACATCATAACTTTTTCTGTCTAAAAAACTGAAAATTAGCTTATTCAAAATTATTTACCTAAAATGTTAGAGCCTAAAGAAATGAAACATGTTAAAAATATATATAATACAAACTCATTTATCGTAACACTTTCTTTGAATTTAATATCTGTGCACATCTAAAAAGCTATAACATTATGCAACATTTTACACCTAACAATCTTATCCTCAAATGTCAGCTCAGATTTTACCACAAAAGTTACAAGTTTTTTGAATTTGAAGTTCATATCTGTTTTATGTAATCTAAATTATTATTATTATTAATCAAAAGAATTTTTTTATCTATAATTGATATTACCTAGCTGACCGGATTCGTAAAAAAACAGATCTTCGTAAGTCTATTTCACACTAACCTTTTCTATACTTATATATATATATATATATATATATATATATATATATATATATATATATATATATATATATATATATATATATATATATATATATATATATATATATATATATATACTTATATATATATATACTTATATATATATATATATATATATATATATATATATATATATATATATATATATATATATATATATATATATATATAATACAGTTAGGATATAAATATATATATATATATATCCTAGCTGTACGGACTCATAAAATACAGGTCTTCGAGCTTATAAGAGATATATAAAATAGTTTTTCTCTTACATACATAATTTCGATAGCTCAGTAGTTTAGTGCTCTGTCATTAGTGTCGTTTTGTGACGGTTTACTGATCTGTTTTGTAAACAATTTACATTATATTGACAATTAAACAGGATCAAGAGGTGCTACGCGTGCAACAACTTAATCAAATATTTGCCTATTTAAACTGTAAATTAAACTTTTAGGTATTTTATATGAAAGCTGTTAGTCTAAAGAATAAAATAAGTTAAAAAGTTTTGAGTCTGGCTGAAAGAGGGCAAATTTAATAATAAAAATGCCACTTTACTTACGTTACACATAAAATAAGGTAAAAAAATTGCTTCAAAATTTAGGTCAAATTTCTGCAAATCAGTAAAGCGGTTTTATTAGAAAGTTTCACAAGATGTTGAGAATTCTATATCAAGTTAAAAAATATTTTAAAATTTTTCAATTAAAAATTGAGGTGACTGGCTAAGGAAAATAAACTGTTTTTTTTTATGCTCTAAACTCTGTGGTAGCTCTCAGAGAGGCTGATTCCATCAACAGCTGCAAAATATCAGAGTATTAACAGTGCCATGTTGCGCATGGATGGTGTCCCTGTTAATGCTTTTGGTGTGCATTGTCAAGGCCACATAAGGAGCCCTATGTCAGGGCTTAGGGTTAATTAACAGGACTGAGACAACTGCATAGCTCATTGATTAGGAGGCTGTGCTCTATCTATGAATGAGTCAAGTTCTCATTAAACCCAAATCATGACCAAAGTAACCAAAAATTTTATACCTAAAAAACCATCCCCACCACCTAAATGTTTTAATATATCTTTTACAAATATTCGCGGTCTGTGAAGCAACTTTCTGTCAGTTGAGTCTTACCTCCTGCAAAATTCACCAGACTTGCTTGCACTCAGTGAAACAAATTTAAATTCTGCAATTCCTTCTTCAAATGTAAGTGTTGATGGGTACTATCCTTTGATTCGTAAAGACTCCAATAGTCACATGCTAGGTTTAGGGGTATACATACGCATTAATTCCCCTATTTGTCGTGAAATCAGGTTCAAATCCTTTGACCATTCTTTTATGTGCTTTCGCTTAGCACTTCTTCACTCTATCACCTTTCTCTTTGTTCTTTATCGTTCTCCTTCTTCCCATGATTGCACTCTTTTAGATGTTATCTCTGATCAAATTGACCATGTTCTCTCTCTTTACCCCTCTGCCAATATTGTTGGTGTTGGTGATTTTAATGCCCATCACATTGAATGGCTTGGCTCTAACACCACTGATCCTGCTGGCACTAAAGCCTTTAACTTCTGGGTTTCTCAATCTCTTACTCAGATAGTTAACTTTGTGACTCGTTTTCCTGACAACCCTAATCATTTACCTTCACTCCTTGACTTATGTCTTGTCTCTGACTCTAGCTTATGTTCAGTTTCTCCCTTTTCTCCATTTGGTGTTTCTGACCATGCAATGATCTCTATAAATCTTTCTTCTCATACTTCTTTTTTGGGCTCACCTTATCATCGCACCACCTACTACTACCCTAAAGCTGACTGGGATTCTTTTCGTGATTTTCTTTGTGATGGTCCTTGGGCTGATGTTTTTTCTCTCTCAGCTGATAAATCCGCCTCCTACGTAACCTCCTGGATTCAGGCTGGAATGGAAGCTTTTATTCCTTCTTGTCGGTTTCAAGTCAAGCCTCATTCTACTCCATGGTTTTCTCCTTCTTGTGCGGCTGCAATATCCAATCGTAATCATTTTTTCATCTTTTTCAAAAGAACAACTCTCTTGAGAACAAACGGCTATTTATTATTGCAAGAAATTGATGTAAAAAGGTGCTTTCTGATGCTAAACTCCATTATTCTCAGTTCACTAAATCTCGCATCTTATCACAGAAGTTAGGCTCTAAAGACTTTTGGAAAATCTTCAACAGCGTTATTAACAAGGGTAGATCTAACATTCCATCTCTCATTCATGGGACTGATCTTATTACCTCTCCCAAGGATAAGGCAGAACTATTTGCAAAGAACTTTTCTTCTAATTCCACTCTTGAATCTTCCAGTCAAACAGGTTGACCCATTGTTAGACATTCAAATCACTCCGGCTTCTGTTGCTAAAGTTATATCTCAATTAAACTCGTCTACAGCTTGTGGTCCAGACAACATTCCTGTCACAGTCTTGCAGAATTGTTCTCCAGAACTTTCTTCAATTCTCTCTAAACTATTTAACAAGTGTTTGACTGAGTTTTGTTTTCTTGCTTGTTGGAAAATGGCATCTGTGGTTCAAATATTCAAAAACTCTGGACAAAATTCTGACCCCTCCAATTATCGTCCGACCAGTCTTCTTTCTGTTATTAGCAAGGTCTTTGAGTCTTTGATCAACAAATTCCTCACATCTCATCTTGAGTCAAATAAACTACTGTCATACAATAAATACGGTTTTCAATCCTCTCGCTCTACGGCCGACTTGCTAACTGCTGTAACTGAAAGATTTTATCGTGCATTTGATGGAGGCAGTGAGGCTAGGGCTATTGCTCTTGACATATCTAAAGCTTTCAACAAAGTTTGGCATTTCTTTTCCAAGCTTGCTTCATATGGTGTTTCTGGGAAAGTTTTTGAGATTATCAAATCATTTCTTTCTAACTGGTTTATTAAAGTCATCCTTGAAGGCTTACACTCTTCTTTATTTCCAGTAACTTCTGGGGCTCCCCAAGGTTCCATCCTGGGCCCTGTTTTGTTTCTTATCTACATAAACAATCTTCCTGACAACCTTTCATCTAAAGTAGCTCTTTTTGCTGATGACTCAACTTTATACTCCTGTCTTGACAAAAAGTCTTCTCTTTTCGATCGCCTAGAACAAGCAGCTGATCTTGAATCCGATCTCACTTCAGTAATAGATTGGGGTTCACAGTGGCTTGTGAATTTCAACTCTAACAAAACCCAGTTGTTTACTGCAAACAACTAACGTAATATGGTCAACATTCCTATGTTAATGAATGGCAATCCTCTTACTGAGTCCTCCTCTTTACGTCTTCTTGGATTATCGCTCACTACTGACCTTTCATGGAGGCTATATATACAATCGATTGCTAAATTAGCTTCTGCTAAGGTTGCTTCTCTTTATCATGCCATTTCCTTACTTCTGATTCCATTCTCTACCTCTACAAATCTCTTATTCGTCCCTGTATGGAATACTGTTGTCATATTTGGCTGGTTCTTCTAACGATTCACTTTCTCTTCTTGACAAGGTCCAAAAACGCATTGTAAATGTTGTTGGACCTGGACTATCTGCTAAGCTTGAGCCTCTTTCCCATCGTCGTAAAGTTGCATCTCTTTCTCTTTTCTACAAATACTATCATGGTAACTGCTCAAAGGAGTTATCATCTCTAGTTCCATCAACTAAAACTCATTCTCTATTTACTCGTCATTCAGCTAAGTCTCATTCCTTTACTGTATCTGTCCCTGCATGCTCTAATTTTAATTTACAATAAAAAAAAAAATAACGATTTTTTTTCTAAATTCTAAGTTACAACCTTGTCAAACCAACATGACAAAATAAGAATTACTTTATGACGTAATTCATTTTGTTAACAAGAAAACACCAGAACTTTAAATGCATGTAGTTTTAACTTACATTAAACAAATTTAAAAAAAAAATGTGCTTTAACTTATTATCGTTATTCAAAACTTTAGATGTACAAACATAACATTTAATACTCTTTTGCATATATTATTATTATTAAAAATTTTGCATATTTTATTATTATTAAAAGTTTTTTAACTAATTTTTAGAAATAACAAAACATATTCATGTTTTTGTTAACTTACGTTACATGAAAATTGCAAAAGTTCTTTCAATATTTTTTTAAAATATGTATATTTTATAAAGGATAAAATCTGACCAACAACAATTTAAACATGCTAGCTCCATTTTCACGCTAAATTAATTACGATTATACAAATAAAGTCATAGTTTAAATAACATTTTACAATAATACTTATTATATCATGCAACAATGAGAATAACCGTAACTTTCGGAAGCATAGAAATGACTTAAATTAAAATGAATTAAAAAAATTAAATTAAAGTTATGTATATATTTATATTATATAAATATTATATATATATATATATATATATATATATATATATATATATATATATATATATATATATATATATATATATTTGTGATGTACTAATTAATCGGCATCGACTTAATCAGCTACTTTTTGCACAATGGAATTGGTATCTGTCTTTTTTTAATTAATTCACCAATTTTCCATCCAGTGGTATTTTTATCCTGCATTATGATAATAGTTAAATAATAAGTAAACTTTATGCTTAGAATTTTTTTGAGAAATTGTTTGTTTTGACTTTGTTTACAGACAAGTTTCTTTATTCTTAAGATGATGTTTATAAGTAGGCTTACCATATGTCTTGTTTTGACCGGGACCCGGTCAAAATGGTATAAAATCAGTTGTCTCGGTTTTATGCTATTTGTCAACAGTTTTTATTTTGCCAACAGTTTTTATTTAGTCTCGTTTTTGGAAAAAATGAAATTTTTTTAAAATTTTGCGTTTTATCAAGAATTTAAAGTCTTATTTTGAATCATCTTAAAGAATGTTAACCGTTGACTTTATTAGTGTATGTGTATAAGAAGCCATGATTTTGTTTTGTTTAATATGTCAAAAAGAAGTTGCAAATTTACAAATGAACTTCAAATAGATTACCCATTTGTGAAAAAAATTAGTGGTAAAGACAACAAAGTACTTTGTCAACAAACCTTTGTTCAACAGAATTTTCTGTTACACATGGTGGACGAGCAGATATTAAAAGCCATATAAAGTGCCAAACACAAAGCTGGAGTTTCTGCTGCCACATGTTCTTCATCTATTAAAGGATTTTTTTAAAAATGATGGACCCAATGAAGGTGATTTAGTTATTGCAGCAAATAAGGCTACATTTTCCTTTCACCTAGCAATGCATAATTTGAGCTTTAAAACATCTGGCTGTAGTTCAAAACTAATCTCAAAGTTTTTTGAACTGCAAAATTTTAAGCAATATTTTTTAATGTTCTGTCACCTTTATATGTAAAAGAGTTACACGATGACTTTAAGAAGACACATTTTGAAAATGTTTTCAAAGACACATCAAATAGAAAAGAAGTAAAACTATCACTAGTTGTTATTATATACTTTTTGCCACTGGAAGGTGTCAAAGTAAAACTTCTGGATTTTGAATCTGTTGATGGTGAAACATCTAAAACATTGACTGATAAGCTAATTTCAACATTGCAGCATCATCAAGTTGATAAAAAATAGCTGCTTTTTGTTCTGACAAAATCTGCGAGTAAGTTTTTAAATTTTTTAAGATGTCAGTTTTCATGGCTGCTGTGTCAACTTTATCTTGGCTTCATATATTACAAAGAGCTAGAAGATGGTCTTGCATTTATTTTATAAAATAATTATTTCTTATTAGTCTGATAATGTTTTATTGGTTTTAAAAAGCCAAAATAGTTAGCATAATTCTATTTATTTCAAGTTAGCATAATTTCACTTTTAAAATGTTACACTCTAATAAATAAGACTTATATATACATTTTTTCCATCACACTGGTTTCTTTGTTAGTTTTTTTCTATAAGCTTGGCAGTTTTTTCATCACTCGTGATATTTACAGAAATTACTTTAGTATAAAAATTGGCAAAAGTGTAGATGGTCATTTTGCCACCTAATCTGCCTTGATTACAGTAAATTGTATTATCTCCTAAGATATGAATCTAGATTTATTTTCTAGGACACAAAAATATAGATAAATAGTAATGTATTAAAATTATATATTTTTAAAACAAGGTTACATTTTTTCAGGCTTAAATCCTTTTCAATGGAACAGCTCTTTTATACCAAATGTGCGCTCAGTTATGCCCTTCAAGATGATGAATGACACATATCTTGCTGTCGCAAATTATGAAAAAAGTGCGCGGTCTGGATATAATATCTTTAAACTGCAGTTTAATCGTACTTCTGTACAAAGTCTTGAGCCAACTATTCCTGAAATTATCTCTAAGCTTTTAGAAAAAATGGAGAAAAATATGGAAGAGGTATTACAAGATCAAAAATTTGATATTTTAATATTTACAAAGAAGTCCAACTCTTAAAATATTTATTTTCAGGTCAAAGAAAATCTTGCATCTGTGCTCTCAAATGTTGTTGGAAAAATAATGACTAAGAGAAGTAATCAAAACATTACTTCAAAAGTCTACTTTGAAGAATTAGAAGTCAACACTATTTCTACATCAGAAGTATTTTATCAAAGCAATATATCAAACAACCCTTTAGAATTGATGCACAAAGAAATATCAAAGCTTAAAGATTTGTTGAAAGAGCATGAAAATAAAATTATTTTGTTACAAAAACAATTAAATGATGCAGTATTAATCAGTGAAAATGCTAATATTACAGGGAAAAAGGTAAATTTCTCTTATTATTTTTTTAAATCATTTTTATAGTAGCAGATTTATAGTTGAATATATTGTTCTAAGTTTTTACCTTCTAGACCTTAGGAGATATGAAATCAAAGTATCTTATCTCTAATTTAACATTTGTTAATGGTTATGTTGACAGAACTAATATTTCCAATCTAAAGATCAATTCATGGAGTAAATCTACAAACCAGAACATAACAGGTTGCTTTACATTCAAAAAACTGTCAGTTACAGGAAATCTTACAGTAAATGGAAAAATAAATGACATTTCTATCGATAACCTTATGACCACTAACACTGAACAAACTGTCACTGGTTCAAAGTCATTTTATAATGAATTTATTGTTGCTTCAGATTTAAATCTAAAAAATTTTACACTAAATGGTTTAATGTTTCCAGATGATCTGATGAAAAGAAGTGGCATTCAAACAATTAGTGGTTATAAGACTTTCAAGAACTTAGAGTTCAATAAACCTGTCATTATTAATGCTTTAATTGATCAGGTGAACATCACTGATTTTAATATTAATAAAGTAACTACTTCTGGGACACAAAATATAACACAAAAAGTGATTTTTCAAAATGGTTTTACTGTCACTTCCGATGTTATAATCAAAGGTTTAGTCGATGGTACAAACCTTGATAAAATAAAGGAAAATATTGATGCTTCTATGGGTGACCAAATTATTCAGAGTAAGTTGTGTATTAAACCACTTTTTTTTTTTAACTTAAATGTATGAACATAAATAAATACACTTTACCTGAAAGCTTTTTTAGCCAGCTCAATTTTCACAAAATATGATATTTGCAATTAAGTTTAATTACGAAAAATCATTTGATTTTTAAACCATAATATTTTTAGGTCAATTTTTTGATTTTGGATAGTTTTTACATACTTAGAAGGTAAAAAATATATGGCAAACACTAAGACATTTAAATATAAAAAAGCTCTCAAAACATATATTACTGATTTCAATAATAAAATTCTTTTCAGCGGTAGAAACAAGATCATGATGCCCTTTTTCTCTTTTAGATAAGGTGCAAAAATGCATTGTAAACATAGTTGGACCTGCTTTTGCAGCCAACCTTCAACCATTATCACATCACCATAATGTTGCTTCTCTTTTTCTTTTCTACAAATACTATAATGGGCACTGCTCTAAAGAGCTAGCCTCTCTTGTGCCATCTACTAAAATTCATTCTCATGTTACTCGTCATTCAATTAAGTCTCATCCTTTTTCTGTGACTGTTCCAAAGTGCTTCCAAAAACTTTTATTCTTCTAGCTTCTTTTCTCAAACATCAGTTTTTTGGAATTCGCTTCCTTCATTTTGCTTTCCTGATTCATATAATTTGCAATCTTTTAAGTCGACTGTCAATTGTTGTCTTGCTCTACAATCTTCATCTTTTCTCTTCCAATAACTTCCATTTCTAATTAGTGTTTGCTTGCAGCCTTGTTGGAAGCGAAGATATTTAGAAAAAATATATATGTGTATATATATATACATATATATATATATATATATATATATATATATATATATATATATATATATATATATATATATATATTATATATATGTATATATACAGGCGTTGAAATAAGTGCCGGACATCGCCGTCCCTCAGACCATTTTTGAGACCTGCTATATTAGGGCAACCAACCATTGTTCATTTTTACTGCAAAAATGAACAATGGTTTGTTGCCCTCATCTAGCAGGTCTCAAAAATGGTCTGAGGGCAGCGATGTCCGGCACTTATTTTGACCCCTAATATATATATATATATATATATATATACATATATATATATATATATATATATATATATATATATATATATATATATATATATATATATATATATATATATATATATATATATATATATATTACATTTTGCATTTTTGTATTTTTAACATTTAAAATTTTTTTTAGCTAACACAACATTCAAAAAGGTATATGCAAAAAATTCTGTTCAGGTGGACAGCATGAATGGTTACAATATGAGTGAAGTTGTCACCACTAATGAAAAGCAGAGGATTACTGCAAACATATCTTTTGAGAATGACATTATAGTAGAAGGTAGAGACTTTTCTTTGCAAAAAAGTACTTAATACTTTGATGAACATTTTTAGTTTTTTTGTTATTTTATTTAGGTGACCTTATGGCTGGTATTATAGATGGCATAAAGTTATCATCTGAGGCAGTAACAAAAGGAGGGAACCAGGAAATCAGTGGAGTCAAAACAATTTTTTCACCTAAAATAAATGCAAACACAATTGTTACTGGTTTACTTAATGGTGTTAATCTCAGCTACTGGATGAACAATATTGTTTTAAAAAACTCTAAAAAAAAAATAACTGGCAAGAAAGTTTTTACAAATGGGGCAATAATTAAAAAACAACTTTATGTAAAACATATTAATAACATAACATTGGAAAATCTAAAGTCAGATTTAGTATCACTTAATACTGATGGTATTTGGAACAGTCAGTTTATCTTTGAAAATGTATTAGTTTTTGGAGATTGTCATGTAAATGGTTATGTAAATGGACTTCAAGTTCCGATTGATTTAATAAAAATTTCAGGCAATCAAGTAGTTCATGGAAAGAAAGAGTTTGCATCTAATGTCAATATAGGAGGCAGTTTTATATCTTTATCAAACTTAAACAATGAAAACATTAGCTTTTTTTTTGAAAATGTAGTCAAAAACAATACAGACGAGGATGTAAATGCTATTCTTTATTTCCATGGAGATACTTATTTTAAAAAAAATATTACTTTTTTATCTAAGTTAAACAATCTATCATTTCCAAATGACGTTGTCACATTAAATACTTACCAAAATGTAAAAGGGCATTTATTGTTTTTGGAACCATCATTGTTTCTAAACAAAGTTATAACTACTATTGTAAATGTCAATACCACAGTAAATGGTATTGATCTTTATGAAATGGAAAAAAATGCTCTTTATAAAGACCGAAACCAAACTGTAAATGCAAGTTTAGTTTTTCTTGGGGGAATTTCATGCTATCAAAATTTATCTGTAGCTGGGCTTATTAATGGAATCAATCTTGAGGAGCTTGTTAATAATTCTGTTTTCATTTCTAAATCTCAAGAAATCACAGGATCTGTTATATTTGAAAATGATGTTTTATTCAATAGCACTGTTACAACTCCTGGCACAATAAATGGAATTGATGTAAGGCAACTAAATAACACAGTTCTAAAAAAAACTGCAAAACAAGTTGAAATAAAAGATCTCTTTTTAAAACAAAGTTTAACAGTTGAAAGTTTAAAACTTTCAGATAATTCAACAATAAATGGTGTAAACTTAAAAAAGTTTTTAGAAAATGCAGTTAAATTTTCTACCTCAATTAAATTAAATGGTAACTTGTCATTTCAAAATAATCTTACTATTGAAAATCTTTATGTTGATTATCTGAATGATGTAAATACTTCAAATATACTTCTTACATCAACCAATCAAACAATGCTCTATCATCAGTTCTTCTCATTTGCACAAATGAAAAATGTAATAGTGAATGGTTTAATTGACACTATAAATATTACTGAAATTGATAATTTTTTATTAAGGTCAGAAGGAGATCAAATTATTACAGCCAAATACAAATTTGAAAATGATTTTATTGTCCAAAACAATATAACAGTAAATGGAAATGTCAATGGAATTGAATTAAAATCTTTTATTGAATCATCTGTACATCTTACAAGTGATGAAACTATTTTTGGTTCAAAGAATTTTGATAAAGTCTCGTTTGGAGATGTTATCTTTATGACACATTTAAATCTAGTCAATGTTTCAGAACTTATTATTGATGCATTAGCTTTAGTTGGAAATCAGGAAATCTGCCATTATAAATTTTTTAATAATAACATATCTACAACAAATTTATTAACTACCAATATTACAACTTTAGAGCTAGTAAACAACATCAATCTTGTAGAATTAGATAAAACATCTGTACGACTATATAAAGACCAGATTTTAGAAGGTAATTACTACTTTAATGGTATATTGTCAGCGCCAAACATGTTTATGAGTGGTAAGTTAAATAACGCAAATTTAGCCACAGATTTTATGACAACGTATGGCAATCAAAATGTAGATGGATACAAAGTATTTATTAATTTTACAATATCTGGTAATCTTAATTTAAGTGGTTTGATTGATGGTGTCAATATCAGTTATTTAGACTCAAATAGGGTTACTTTAAGCGGAAACCAATTCATTTTTGGAGAAAAAAAGTTTTCTTATGTAAAGTCAAATAAAGACATAGAATTCCCAAACAATGCAACAGTTAACAATCTTGATATTTCGGTAGATTTGATTTTGAGATATAACAATAGTTTAATTGATGGAAATAAGTTTTTCACAGATGTTTATGTGAATGGTGACTTAAGCACAATTAGTGGTATTATAAATGGGGTAAATATAATAGAAATGAAACAACAAGCTCTGATGTTAAATTCTGATAAGGCACAGTGGATTTCAGGCAACCAGCTGTTTTTCGAAGCGCTAAATATATTAGGTAAAAAATTTAAATTCTATAATTTTTTTTTTTTAATATAAATTTTTTAAATGTAACATTAATAATTTTTATAAATAGAATATTATATTTTATATAATATTCTATTTATAAAATAAATAGAATATTATATAAAATTAGAAATGGAAGTTATATTTTATATAAATATTATTCATATAAATAAATATAGTAATATAACAAATATATAGTATATATAACACTATTTAATTTATTTGAGTGATGTCATATTTTTTGTCTCATTTCATTTAATATTTCTTTTTGTTTTCTTTTCTTTTCTTCTTTTTTTTAATGATAGTTCATTAAACTTTGTGTGTTATCTCTCATTTACTCATTTTCTCATATTATCTCATCCACTCATTCCCTTTTTTCTGTTACTAGTCATTCTTTTAAAATATTATTTTTCTTTTAATTTTTTTGTTAGAGTTTTTTTAGTTTGTTAATATAAATAGTGTATATAGCATTATAATTATAAATATAAAGTTATTTTGTTTACTAAAGGCAACTTAAGTGTAGTTGGAACAATTAATGGGGTGAATGTTAATCAACCTAAAGAGTACAATCAAAACATAAGTATGGTAATTGAATCAGATATGCAAAGTTTAGTTGTTATTTCCAATGCCACGTGTCAGTCTATTTCAAATCTTATACAAATATCAAGTTAGTAGTTTAGTATTATCCTTTTTTTATTTTAATCATTAAATTTTTTATTTTAATTATTAAAAGAAAACATAAAGCAATTCATTTTTTGTAAAAGACTTTATCAAAAAATTACTTAAAATAAAATTGTTTATTTTACATTAAATATTTTTAAATTTAGGTTCTGAAAACTTTTTTAATGGTTTTGAGAAGTTGTACACATCAATTTTACCTAGTTCGCAGGTAGGAAAGATAAATTCATTTATCAGTGGAAATCAAATATTCGTTTCAGTGGCTCGGGCCCCAGGTTCTGGATGTGGTGCTGGTTTTGTTCTTCTTTGTTCCATTAACATGCAATGTGATGTTATTCAAACAATTTATACAAATGCAAAAACAATGGAATTTATTGAATACAATTCTTCTGTTGCATTATATGTTGCAAATGAAAAGGCAGGTAAGATAAATGGCAATTGGCCCACCATACATGTTATAAGCATTAACACAAAAATTAATTATTTTTACTTTTAATATGGTTTCTATTTTCTTTTACTATCATTATTTTTTAGAAATATTTATATATTATTGTCATTTTCAACAAAAGTTTAACAGGAATTCCATATTTTTTAAGATTTTTATAGTAGAAAGTTCTGTTGCAATTAAAAACTGTAACTAAATCCTCGGACTAGAGTCTGAGTTTTGGCTTGTCAAGCAATATAAATAACAGTTTGACTGAAAATTGACACTGGTCACTATTATAATATTTTACACGAGTTTTTAAGTAAATTTTATTATGGAAATTAGTTAATAACAATCCGTTGTTATTTTGAATCATTAAATATGTTGTTAAATTGAGGCAAGCCCAAAGAGTAAAAAAAGTAAAGTGGGATCATTAATAAAAAAGAAGTATGTTATGGTATTTGAGGTTTACATTAATACATTACAGAAATATAAAGTGTGTGTGTGTTCCACCCCCACCCCCCGAAGAAAGTATTTTTCAAGTTATAGTCGGTTATTTTGACGAATTTAGTCGGCTAGTCGGGTATTTGACACAATTCAGTTGGTTAAATTTTGGTTTTGAGGACTTTTTTTTTTTTTTAATGTATATATATATATATATATATATATATATATATATATATATATATATATATATATATATATATATATATATATATATATATATATATATATATATATATATATATATATATATATATATATGATTTAAATGTAGACATCTTCATTATTTGTATAACAGTTAGATGTAGATATTAAAAAAAAATTAAAGTTATAGCCATATATTATATATTTCAAGATGCTAATAAGTTTTTAACTACTCAAACAACCATTTTTGTTTCATTTAGATCAGGTCACAAAAGGTTGCAAAAATGAACCTGAAATTTACGTTTGGTCTGTCAATTCTTTTTTACCATATTCTCAATATTTATCAAGTGCTCAATTGGCTGAATTGCTATATTTTCATAATAATATATCCAAGTTTCTAACGCAGACATATGGTTCATACGACGAGGTATCAGATACGTATCAGCGTCCGAATAGTTTAGCTTGGAATGATTCAAATTTAACTTATATTGTTGTTAGCTGGGAGGAAAATAATGTTGATTTTATAGATATTTTAAATCTTAATGGCACAGATATGACAACGTTAAAAGTTGAACAAACTATCAGAGTAGGAACGGGTAATAACCTTGGTTTCGGTAAAATTTTGAATGAGAAAATGATTCTTTCCATTAGTTCAGATATTTCAAATGAAAACAACATTTATATTAAAAACAGTGCAACAGGTTCTTTTGAATTTTATCAAAAACTATCCCATTCTGCTTCCTCAGTTAAGTTTAATAATATGTATAAAAAGTCTTATTTGGTTTACGCAAGTTCTTTAGACGGACTAGGTCTATGTTATTGGAAAGGAATATCAGGCTTTGTGAATTGTCATCCCATTCAATCGTCCGATGCATCTTATGTGGAAATCGTTACCACTGCTGATGGAGTGTTTATAATTGCTGGTGGGAAAGATAGTCTTATGGTGTATAAAGCAATCATTGAAGGCAACACTGTAGAGTATCAAAAACCAATATGCTAAATGTTTATTAAAAATTTTATGTTTATTGCAATATATTTTATTATTTGTTATTGGCTATTAAATTGCTTGATATTATTTGATATGTATTATAAAAAATACTTTATATTTATAAAATAATTGCAGGTATGTTAATAACTGTTTAAATGTAAAAATGTACTTTAAAAAGAGAAGAAATATTTTTTTTCAATCATTTTAATTAATTTCATTTTTTAAAGTGTTTAGATCTGGAAGTAACGCAAATTAACTTGTTTATCTGACTTGTTTATCAAATTTTGTAAGGTTTAGTGAAAGGCTTAAAACAATTTAGAAAAATCGAAAAAAAAATTGCCATGATATGATTTAAATACTTGGCTAGTCGTTAATGAAAGTTAAGATACGCAAGATATTAAGGTACGTTACTGAAAAGTGCTAATTTTGAAGTAAAATGTCAAAGTTTTGTTTTAGGCCTCATTTTTTTCCAAATTTTATCCTTTTTCAATTGATATAACAATCTTGTATTGTTTAAAAACATAAAACTTTTTAAAATTGCATCTTTTAAGAATTAATAATTAATAAATTTTTGAACTAACAACGTCTCAGCAACTAAACAAAAACCTTAGTCTTACTTCTAAAATCTATGCTAAAAGGACTTCTTTTTTAGAATCATTGCATGTTTATCTATGCTTTGAAAACACATTTGCTTTGTGAAAATTTAAAAAGTAGTTGAAATTAACTATTGATATTTGTACTCTATCAAATTACTGTTTGAAGATTACTTAATGCGTGATATATGAGGCGCGCCATGCAAAAAGGTAACTTTGAAAACTAATTTACTTAATAAAAGGTACTTTTCTAAAACTACGATTCAATTTTTTTCAAAGCAATTTTCGGACTCCCTATGTTAAAAAGATAGAAATTTTCAATTTTTAAACTTTCGTTTATAAAAATAATTGCTAAGTTTCGAAAAAATATGCATGATTTTAAACAAAATGTAGCCACAACACTTATAGATCGTCCATAAATTACGCAAAGTTAAATTTAGCTGATAAACAAAACAAATTATTAATAAAAAAATAAAACTTAAAAATAATCCAATGCAGTAACTAGTTTGCCAACTCCACGTAAATAAACTCTGTACCTCAGAGGTCAACTATCGTAACTCACATTTGACTAATTTTACAGGAGAGCCAAATGATGTTACTGCACTTCTTTTTCTGTTAAGAAACACCTTTTTTATTTTTAAAATTGATATTTGAAGTTCTTCATACATTTCAGTGGGTCTGAATAATATCTTTACCACTAAACAAGACGGTCTTCCTGCGACAGTTAAGATAAAATCCTGAAAATCAGCAATTTTGCAGTTACGATAGTTGACCACTGGGGTAAAGAACTTTCTTTTAAATATATTAAACTTTTAGATATTAGAAAGAGAGGACTTCGGTGGAAAAAAATTTCAAATTCAGACTATTAAATAAATTTCCTTTATATATATATATATATATATATATATATATATATATATATATATATATATATATATATATATATATATATATATATATTCGTTCTTTTTATTACATGTAAAATAAGCATTTCGTTACAATATTTCAAATACAAATATATAATAATAAATTTATATATAAATATAATGGTTGTTATTTGAAAATAAAAGAACGCGGGGACTCGTAGACCATACGGTCTTGTCGTCGAGTACCGCTAAGAAATGTTCGTGTTAAAATTTAAAAGATAATTACAAGATTAAAAAATAAAAATAAGTTAACAAAAGTAAGAAACTTAAAATACTCCATAATAAATACAAGATGCGTTATGTCTATTATATATGTAAATTATAGTTGTTAATGATACACATATACTTTTTATAAGTTCACGCCGCCCAATGAGACAGCCTAATGTGTACCACCAGTGGTACACGCTGCCCAATGAGACAGTCTAGTGTGTACCACCGGTGGTACACGCCGGCGTGAACGTGTTAAATAAATGGTAAAAATAAAGATTACAAAAAATATCAGAAGTATATTGTTAAATTATCGATTGTAAAAATGAGTTCTTCAAGCTTTTGTTTAAAAGAAAAGTAGTCACTTTGATTAATAAAATTCTCAGTAAAATTTTTAAAAATTATTTTATTCCATAAGAATTGTCCGCGATAATCAATACAAAATTTAAAAAGATTTGTTTGAAAAATGGGCTGCTTAACAAAATTATTATTGCGTAAAATATATTTATTTTTATCTTTTGATGAATATAAATTATGAAAAGAAATCGGGGATGAATTGGTTTTACATTTAAACATAAAACAAAGAATATTAAAAATATTAATTTCATATATATTAAAAACTTTCATTTCAAATAAAAGAGGCTTGGCATGAGTATAACGGTCTTTAAAATATATAAGACGTGCTACATGCTTCTGCTGACAATAAAGAGGTTTAATATATATATGTTTTACCTTTACCTACAGAACTTTGTAGGACAAAGTACTGCGAAATCATCAACGATTTATTCGGCGAAAAAAACTTAGAAAGATGTTTGTTAAAGCAAAATTTTTTCTTCAGATAATTCTTGTTTCCAAATATATTGAAAATCTTTGTTAATTAAAAAAAAAAAACATAGTTCGTTTCACAATAAGTTATTTATTGGAAAACTCGACTAATAAAAATTGTCAGTTTTATTTGGAAAATAATCTGGGGCCAGGGCTTGTACTTCTTTGTTGACCCAAGACCTCAATACCTCCAAATCCGCCACTATATATTTGGATTATATTCCGGAAGAAAATCTTTGATTTTAAATAAAATACCGTTATTGCTCGTAACTTCGATGTCCATTTAAGAAGATCAATCAACTAATCAAATAAAGTTTTTAAGTAGTACTGTACATCATATTATGATATTAAAACAACAAAGTTTTTCAATTGTGTTGCATAAATAAAGCATTTTTCAAAATTTGAGTTAAATTTTTTGGTTTAAGTTAAAAACAATGCAGTTAAAAATTTCAATAATTTTAACAAAAATTTTTATTAAAACAATTTTAGCATAAAAATTTTAATTAGAACAATTTTAACAAAAATTTTAACAATTTCAGTTAAAAACAACGCAGAACGAAGCAAGCAAATTAAATGATGCAATAAAAGAAAAAATGAGAAAACTAGATGATAGGAATAGAAGAAACAATGTTAGAATTGACGGTGTACGAGAAAATGAAAAATAAATATAATCAAAACTGAAAATAAAGTTCAACAAATACTTAATGATAAGTAAAACAGTAATACTTAAAAATAAGTAAAATAATTATTAAAAGAGCGCACCGTATCGAAAAATGCTTTAACGTAGAGAGAATAAAGAATAAACCCAGAGCAATCAATCTCAAATTGCTAAACTATAAAGACAAAGAAAAAATTTTGGAAAAAGCAAAGATGCTTAAAGGTACAGGTCTTTTTATTAATGAAGATTTTTCATTTTTAATCAACAAAATAAGACGCGAATTAAATGAAAAGATGAAGATTGAGCGCTGGAAAATATGCCGTTATTCAGTACGATAAGTTAATAGTGAGAGTTTAATTTAAAAGCTAAATAAGTAATTTTATTATTTTATTTTAACAATGTATAAAAATGGAGCAAAACTCTATATTTCAGTTTTCAAATGAAAGTATTAATGATAATGACACTGAAACAGACTGTTTTGACAAATTGAATTTTGAAAGTAAATACTACTCAGTTTGCCAATCTGCACAAATCTTAAAAACAATAAAAACGCAAAAATTTCAATTTTAAATATTAACATCTGAAGTCTAAATAAAAACTTTGAAAATTTAAAAATTTTATTGGATGAAATAAAACATGATTTTAGCATTATTTGTCTAATAGAAACGTGGTGTAAATGCGATGAACAAAGTTCACAGTTTGATTTACACGTCAGTTCATCAACCACGTGATAGTTATGGTGGCGGAGGCGTTAGTATTTTTGTCCACAATTCAATTAATTTTTTTTCCTCGTAATGACCTATGCGTTAATGAAACAAATTGTGAATCATTGTGCTTTGAACTTTTTAATAAAACCACAAAAAACATAATCGTTAATGCTATTTATAGAAAACCATCTAATAGTTTTAAAAAATTTTAAACTTACTTAAACACATTTTTAACTAAAGTCAAGTTGTTGGCAATATCAATTTGGACTTATTGAGACAAGCTTCAAATAAAATTAAGCATTTTATAGATAAACTTCTTCAACATAATGTTATTCCAACAATAAATAAGCCAACCAGAAAAACTAAGAATTCTTCTACTTTACTAGATAATACAATCACTAACAATTTTTATAACAACTATATTTTCACAGATATAATCAAAACAGACTTATCAGATCATTTTTCTACTTTTTTAATAACTAACAATATAGCAATAAATAAGAGAATTATTCTTTAAGCAATAAATAAGAAAATTATACTTTACGCCACATTTACAACTTCTAATAACTTACAACCTCTTTACATAACATTTCTTCTAATATATAGGAGGCATATCAGTAAATACTCCTTACAAAAATTTCAACACCGTTTAAAATATAACGTTGATTAGGATCTTATAATGCAATTGGTAGAAGTAAATAATGAACTATGATTTCAAGTTTTTTTGTGAATAATATGAAATTTCTCCTGAGAAAAAATTGTTATAAATACCAACTCACATCAAGCTCCTTGGATGTCTAAAGGTTTATTAAAATCTTCAAAGAAAAGAAAAAGTTGTATGAAAAGTTCTTTAAAAAAAAAGTATAAAAATGAAACAAACTACAAACTTTATAACTTTATATTTGAAAAAACTAAACAACAATCAATTTACTATTCTAAGTTGTTAAAAAAAAAAAAATCCCAAAAAGACATGGAGCGTATTAAAGAAATTATCGGCAGAAAAAATAATGGAATAAGTATTCAGACAAAAAAACTCTTAGTAAATGATAAAATATTATATGACAAGTTAATAGTAACTGAAAATCTAAACAGCTTCTTTTTTAATATTGGTCCAAACTTTGCTGAAAAAATTCCATGAAGTTCATCATCGTATAACTCTAATCTAAAAACATATGATAAGGTCATGGACCAATCTAAACAAGATATTAGTTGCGATCTGCTCTAGATAATCTTAAAAACAACACAAGTGTAGGTTTTGATAATATAGCATAAATGTTGTAAAATTTCAGCAAATTGTTAAAATTAAAGAAAAAACATTTCCGCAATTCAAATCTAAAATAAGACGTTATTTAGTACTTACGGTTTTTAATATTGTAAATTTTCTTTGTCGTTTTTAGAAGTTATTAAACTAAATTAGCACTAAAAATTTAAATATCTAAATCGTTTAACAAAAGAGCAATATCAATATTAAGAATTTCAATGTCTTTATCATACTTTCATTAAAAATATTTACTTTAGAAGATACCTACATATACCTATATATATATATATATATATATATATATATATATATATATATATATATATATATATATATATATATATATATATATATATATATATATATATATATATATATATATATATATATATATATATATATATATATATATATATATATATATATATATATATATATATATATATACATATAATATATATATATATCGAATTACGTTCAGTTTATAACCAAAAACAAAAATTTTTGTCATTTTTATTACTATATCTTGATCTTTACTTTTTTTTTTTTAATTATTTTATTACTTTTTTTGTTTATTAACATCTTAAAATTATCTTTTTTTTTTAATGCTGTTGCTTATATATTACGGTTATTTATTTGCGCTACTAATGGGGCTAGATGATAAGGCTAATTTATGCCTTCTTCTTGCTCCAGCCAATTGTACTTTTTTATATTGGTGAACATTGTCAACAATTTTTACGTTGAAATAAACTAAATTAAAAAAAAAAACTTAACAGGTCTTTTTCTTTTTTAAAACTAATTTATTGCAAAAAGGGATCATGTCCACGCCTAAAAAATGTTGTACACTTAAAACAAAATAAATAGAAAAACTATTTCATAACTTTTAGACCCGTACAAACTGTAAAATAACTAAAAAAGTTTTTTGAAAAAATCCAAGTTTGAAAATCTTAGGTCCTACTTTTTTTGTTTTTCAAAGTAAAACTCTTTGAGAATAACTCTTTCTAGTAGAAAGAGTTATACACAAAGTTACCCCACTGTCTAAAGTAACCACATTTTACGGTATTCATTTATTAAAAAAAATATCAAAACAGTTTGGTGCACTTATAAACACTTTGCACTTATAAACACTTTGGTGCAAGTTTAAGCTTAGACAAATTTGTGCAACGCACTCGTATTTTCGCAATTTTTGCTGCAACAAAAAATTTTCTGTTAGGCAGTAGTCAAAAAGGAAAATAAGATTGGATAGCTAAAATCAACTGAATTTCTGTGAAATTTGAAACTTTAAAATATGAACGAAGCAAAAATGTATCAAAACCAATTGTAAAAATATAATAAACTAAAACCAAAATGTATAAACATGTTGGAAACATAAAACTGAAATAAATAAAAAATTCAAAAAAAGCGACTTCAAAAGACCAAACAATTGCCGCCTTAAAAAAAAAAAGCAAGACTGCGTTCTTGATTAGGTAACAATCACGTTGAAGCATTTGCTTCTTACGAAGTAGGCTTCTCGTACCGTTAAAATTTTACACTTCTCTTGCTTCTCGTACCGTTAAAATTTTACACACATTTTAAAAAGTAAAATCATTACTATTTATACTATTAAATAATGATATTATATACATATAAAAAAAAAAAACGACACAGAGATTAGGTTTATACAAAGGAAAAGAATTACCATGAAAAACTGTAATAATTATTTCAAATCAATTAATTTACAAATTTATTTTGTTTATAAGTTAGATTCATTGATTATAATTTTTCAGATTATGAAACAATAGAGAATAAGCCTAAACCAAGAAAGGAGATCAACACACCCAATAATGAAAATTTAGACTCCTTTCACCAGGTGCATCCAATTTATGATATCATTTTATAACACATTTATTTATGAATAAGCTTAACAAAATATAACATAGCAATAGGTAACTTGAAAAAAAAAAAATCTTAAAATTGTCAACCCGTATCGAGAACCTTTTTAAAGAACTAAATAATTTCTAAAAACGAACTAATTGCAAATTTAAACAATGGAAGCCTCTGAAATGCAATTATAAAATATTTTTTTCTGTATTATGGGTGTATGTTTACTGGCGTGCGCATGTGCAAACTATCCTAAAAAAGATCTATGAAATGATGATCCAATAATAAATTTATTAGATTATCATTTATGCATCGACTATTTCGAATAATAATAATAATAATAATGATGATGACGATGATTCACTGTCAACATTTATTTGAACAATAAAAATTTCAAAAACTGCTCACAAAAAATGTACGCTTGTCTTATCAGAGTTTATTTGCGAAATACGTGCTTCATTTTTTGATCGTATATTTTGTGCGAAAACAAAACAATCGATGTTAAACTGTTTTTTTTTTTTTTTGTAAATAGTGGTAAAACTGGTACTAAATGATAGTATGGTAATAAATTGAAGTAAAAACAAAAAAAAAAAAGTCAATTTTATTTAAAACCTTTCTTAAAAAAGTTTTTTGATTTAAAATTTAACTTTTAGATAAAGGTTTAAGCAAAGTTAATTTATATCAAAAATAAAATTATAAATATAAAACAACATTAATACTAAAACATATCTTTCAGTTTATTATTTCTAGAGTCAAAATTTCCCAGGTTAACCTTAAAAAAATTCATTGGTTCAATATATTTAAAATAAATATTACATCGAAAACCAAACAAAGACTTTAAAGTCGGATTAAAAATTTGAAGGAGTTATAGTAAACAAACTTTCACATAGTAAAAGTACATTTACATGAATTAAAGAAATATTATAAAAAATTAATCCTGATTATATTTACAAAAAATATAGACAAACTTAAGATTTAACAAGTTAAAATGACAAAACAAAAGGATTTCTGTCAATTAATTGAAACACAATATATTATATACAAAATTAACAACCAATTTCGCTTTTTTCAATCATAATTTCTTTAATTTTTTTTTCGTAATTTTGATAAAATGTTCTAGAGTGTGTTTGATGATATAGGAGGCGAAGCGGAAGATTTTATGTGTCCAGAAATCATTTCTCTAGGAAGCTCTCTTATAGCGCTCGAACATGAAGCTAACCTCTTTCGTAAACTAGCTTCCTCTTCGTCACAACGGTTTCTTTTCAATCGTAGAGTTTCGACTTCTTGGTTAATTCTATCAATTTCCTTTAGTTTATAGACTATCTGAGTATCTAAATCTAATTAAAAACAATTCAGTTTAAAAAAATAGAGAAGCCACACAAAAAAATTATCATACATAAAGATTTACAGATTTGATTACGTAATTTTGTTGATGTAATAGCATAAAAACAATCACAAAGAACATAAAAATAAAAGGCGCACGCATTAAAAAAACAAAAATACAAAATGCATGAATAAAATCCATGCATCTTAAAAATGATATATTAAAATATTATTAAAAATTCCCAATGTGATCTATGCGGAATCATTTTTTCTAACTTTAAAAAAAAACAAAAAAAAACAAGAGAACTTTTTTTTTATCCTAAATGTAAAGAATGTTTAGAATGTGGTTTAGAATGATATAAGATGTCTTTGTTGATATCAGGAAGTACAAAAACAATAAATTGGCGGAGTGTCGAGATAATATAGAAAAATTACCCTACAGTTTAACATGAAAGTAAAGGTATTGAAATAAATGAGTCTTCTTACATAGTTTCACTCAGAATTGTTCCTTTCAACATTTTTGCTTGGAATGGAATGCTCTGATGCAATTTTTTTTTCAAAAAAAAAAAAAAAAAAATCTATCAAAGGGAAATTCCAACCATTCTACATTTCTCCAAAAATTCGAAAGCCAACCAGAAAAGAAAATTGCAAGGCCATTAGTTTCAAAAGACTTAAAATTTGAATACAGGGTTTAGAACAAATGCAGAATTTATTTTGACAATATTTTCACTTAAAACTCATTTGAGAATTTTTTAATGTTATAATGTAGAAGTAAATCATTTTAAAACATTTTAACAGGTCTAAAATCACGTAGATCTTTACTATCACAAAACATATTAAATGTGTAATATATATAGGTATATATATATATATATATATATATATATATATATATATATATATATATATATATATATATATATATATATATATATATATATATATATATATATATATATATATATATATATATATATATACTATGAATATGATGTACAATAGATACAGATAAAAAGGTACACAAAATTAATTTCAAATAAAGAGTATTACATACGTATCTTTATTAAAATGATATACCGTGATTTTTTTGAGGTAGTTTATTTTTTCTGTTGTTTTTTTTTACGATACATTCTAGAAGGCTACATTTTATATTCAATTTAATATATTTTAAATATTTAATAATCGTAGCCAGTATGCGACATAAAAAATAATCATAAAAGTATAAGATGGAAATTTAAAGAAATTAAAACTGGATTTAGATGCTCAACTTTTGAACATACAACCTTTATTTCCATATAAATATTCGAATACAAAGTTAACTAAAGTTAACTTATACAACAGAACTAACTAGTAATTTGCAAACCGCATGAAGTTCTTGGGTAGCCATTTTATCTCTTTTCAAAAGTGTAATGAGCTTAGCAATATTGTTAGAAACAATAAAACCTGGATAAAATATAATAAATATAAATAACAATAATTGACTTCACAACAACAACACAAAAGAAATATTTGACGGAAAAATTTCTGTTCATAAAAAAAATAAAAAATTAGTGTGTTTAATGTAACAAAACGTAAGAAAACTCGTTTGAAGAATATCCATTTGAAATCAAATTACAGAATAAATGAAACTGGATTGCTCAACAGAACTATTAAAAATTATCAAATATAATTTTAATCTTTCATTAAAAAACCAAATATTATTACAGAAGAAAGTTTTATTATAGCAAGAGACGTTGCAAGACGCAAACACCTTTACACTGATAAAGACTTGGTAAAGCAACGTATTTAAGAATTGTTTATAACTGAAAAAGGAACTGCTGAGATTAGGTTGGCAAACACGTTGGACTTATTGGCTAATTGAAAAGTATTTTTAAGTATCCAGTTTATCCGGTTCACTGTGTGACTCATTGATAACATTTACCAGAAAAAAAAAGTAATAACCCAGTTTTTAGTAAATCATAAGAAAATAACAATATTGTTAGCTGCGAAGATATTCAGCCATCGTCTAACTATAGGTTACTTGTTATGATGTAATTAGCAACAAAGCTACAAAATTTAGCTAATGATTACATAACAAACCTAATGTTTGAAAAAAAATGTCATGATATTATCATGGCATTTTTTTATCAGATAAAAAAAGTCACGATAAGCAAGCTAGTCGCTCATATTTTACCAGATGTTTGTTTCTAGTAAGAATTATTTCTTTGATCATAGAGAAATTAAATTGGTATTGTTTTATCTATTTTTAACTATCGCTTTAATTCGCTTAAAATTTTTTCAACTTTAAACAAAATTCAAATTTTTGCATTTGAACAAAATTTACGCAAAATAAAAAAATTTAGTTTTGTTCATTGCTAAACGAAATTTTTCCTACTTTGACTGTGTGAGCTTTGAATTCGGCGTGAATAACTTATTCAAATTAAATTTTCAAAGCACAGTTATGTTATTACATAACAAAGCACAATTAACGTTGTTACGTAATAAAGCACAAGTAACGTTATTACGTGACAAAACACAACTGGCAATAATGGAAAGAAAAACTAAAAAAAAACTTTTAGAAATAAATGTGGTTTTAAACAATTGACTTTAGACGAGGTAAAAAAGTACGAGCTTTTTTTGTAACGCTTTAATCAAAATATATATAAACGAGTACTTATTGCAAGTATTTTTCAAGCATCGGAAAATTCTGATATTTTTATACTCTTTTTTATTTAAACCGGAGTGATTGAAGCTCAGGTAAACAAGTCAAAAGTAGCCCTTAACCAAATAATACAGGTTTTCATGTAAAAAAAAATGTTTTTTTTAATCTATTACTAATTTTAGTACAAATTATATTAAAATTAAACGACAATATTTAGATTTTTTCAAAATTAAATTTTGGGCTTTAACCAATAGAGACTATATAAACTTTTCAACTCCCTAAAATTGAGGGGGTTCTAAATTATTATTATGTAATACTTTTTGAACATTTTTTATGAATGTAAGATAATTAAGATTTTAAAAAATGGGTCGGGAGACCATTTCTTAGTCAAATAGGTTTTTCAAAAAAAAAAAAAATCCCAAAATAATTCGTTGGAAGAACACTCCTTGGGACTGTTTTTTTCTTCCGGTAAAACAATCATTTTGATTTTTCGCATTCAATATTGCATTTGACGTTTATTATAACATAAAAGATAACAAAAAAAATCCAGAACTTTTAGTATTTGTGAAAGGTATCTCTACCATGGTATCTCTACCATGGACTTAATTTGTAAGTTTTTAACAACATTTTTTCTTCAAACAGTTTTTTCTTAATATCTTGACTTTTAAAACTTTTTAATAAATTCATGTTTTTGAAATTGCTTTACTAGTAATTTATTATTTGAATTTTCTCGATAAGACGAAATATACAAATATTCAAAAATATATATTTACATATCGTAAAAAAAAAAAATTAATGTTAATAACAGCTTTTACAAAACACTTGACATCCAAGATTTATTGAATAAAAATTAAGTAAAAACTGCGGTAAGTGCGTTTTCATTATCTCGAACTTATAACTGTTATTATTTAGGTAATAGACTAAAAATTATTTTAGTGCTAAAATCAACAATGATAAACATACAATATTTAAGCAGTTAGGATTTCTAATAAACATAATTGCAAATTATTAAGTCGTAAAAAATTTTATCTTGGTTTCTTTTGATGAGTGGAATTGTGTACCGATTAATACAGAATTAGTAAACAGATAGTATATAATGTACTATCTAATGGTAAAGATAGTATTTATGTAACAGCATAAAATATGATAAGTAAACAGATTATCAAATAGAGTTAAAGAGCTTGGTTGAATTTGTAAAAATATACTTAGTTTAAAAAAACCACAATTTTTTCGGCGTAAGAATGTAAACCTGCTAAATCCATTTTTGACCGTTATTACGTTCAAATAACAAAAAATGAATAAATAAACAAGCTCAGAAAGACAGCTACTGTCAGTTTTGACTTTAAATTAGCAAAAACGCGTAATGAGTAAAACTTGAAACGATTAACTTTTTTGTTTTTAAATACGATTTTTGTCTCTCCTGTAAAGTTACTTATAATGAGTTTAGCAGGTTTACATTCTAAGCCGACGATATTATTAAATTAACTTTTAATTTAATGAAACATACATCAAGCATTTTTAAGTCGCAACGTATGCATGATCATTAAATATACGCAGGCCTTCATTAAAAATCTAGTCATATGCAATGAAAAGACTCTAAAAGTTTAAATGAAAAAAATAAATTATTTATTTTGGACATTTTTAAATAAAAGCTTGAATTTTAAACAATTACGACAAACTATCTTACAAGTTGTTAAGTTTGAAACCTATAATAAAACAAAAAAAAAAAAAATAGATTATAGCAGTTCGTCCTAAATGCCTACCCAGTCGATACTTTGATAATGAAATACCAGATGAAATTAATAACAAATACATATACATGCGAGTGTGTATAGGTGCGCATATATATATATATATATATATATATATATATATATATATATATATATATATATATATATATATATATATATATATATATATATATATATATATATATATATATATATTATACACTTATTAATAAAAATATAATTATGTTTTAAGTATTTTGACACACTAATGTTTAAACAATATTACCTTTTGCTTGTTGTTGATATCTGCGAAGTTGGCCTTCGTCCCTTGCTTTAGCTCGTCCTAACAAATTTGAGACTTCGCTTAATAGGCCAGCTTCGCGAAGATGATTTAGCAATGGGGAATTTACTAAAATCAAAAAAGCTTTATTATATAATATATCATACGCAAGAAACTGTCGTATTGTTATTGTTTTAAATAAATAAACTTGATCTTTGTTCAATCAAAATTCCTTTTAAAATATGTAAAAAGTGTAGCTTTTTACCGTCAAAATTTGAGTCTGAAAGCGAAGAAGGACTCATCGGATAAATATGTCCATTTTGACTGCTATCCGCCTAAAATTAAATTTATTTCAAAAACAGTAATTGGGAAAAATTAAAGAAAACTCTTTATTTATCTGAGTATTCAAATAACTTACTGAGTCTATTTTTAAATCTCCTTCTTGCTTTATTTTATACAGACCAGGTTCGACCATTGGTAAATCTCTGTCGTTATAATGCGAGTGTAAACCTGGGGAATCAGGAGAACCGTGAAGAGGTGAACGACTCCGAGTAGGAGATCGAGATATATCTGACGAATAATATGGTCTTTGTAGTGAAAGTGAACTTATTGGACTTGCCCTTGACCTTGATGGAATTTCTACCATTGTCATTAACGAACGAGGATCATGACAATCTCCGGACGTTGACGTAGTATGAGACGGATATACTATCTAAAAAGTTTTTAGTTTTTAAAGAATTTTAGTTTAGTATAATTTAAAAAAATATACGTACTAATAATTTTTACGAATATAAATACTAATAATGATTACCTTGACAAGTTCGTCAACTATACTATTGCACCCTTTTTGTATAGCTATATCTAATGGAGTTTGATCATTGTCGTTTTTCATAGTTTTGTCCGCTCCGGCTCTTAAAAGAGCAGCAATCGATTGGCATGCATAATCTATTTTTCCTTTTTCATGTATATGAGCTAAAATATGAAGACAAGTATTGCCTTCGTTATTTCTGCTATCTAGCACCGCTGAACGCTGTTCTTCTGACATTTCACGAGTTTGCGCAGCCATTACATCAATAGCTGTTACAAAAAATACTAAACGAGAATCTGAGTTCAATAGCATGGTTGCTGCAGTGTGCAAAGGCGTGTTGCTATTTAAAAATTCCGGAATAGACAATAAGTTTGAAAGAAGTGAACATACTTTTCGAAATTTTGGTCGCAACTCTTTTGTAGTAAACTTTGGACGTGATTTGTATAGAAAAATGACGCACCGATGGAGAGCGTTTTCTCCTAGACTTTCGGGCAAAGAGCTTGTTACTTTTGAATCAAAACCTGAATTTAACATCCATTCTAAAGCATTGCATTTTCCAAGAGAAGCGGCCCAGTGTATCAGAGGCAAACAATTTTCCCTGACAGGGTCAGGTATTTCAGAGTTCTTGTCCCATCCCATGCTCTCGTTCTTTTCTATATTATTTTTTAAAACTTCTAAATTAGACAAATGTCCTAACTGATCTGTACAATTTACTACAGCCTGAAGAATCTCGTGATGTTCAGGACACTCAACGGACTTGTCACAAAACGGCGTGCATTTTCGCCATACTATCATGCTATTATCCATTGAACTGTTGTGCATTTTTTCCTTTTCGTCTTATTTCTAATTATTTTCTGAAAAGGAAATTGTTAAAAAGTATTAATTTAACAATTAAAAAAAAAATTAGAGATAAAAAAATTAGATCTTAAAAAAGCGTCGTTTTTACAAAAACATATATATTTTCAATAATGTTATCGTAGCTTCTATCTCTATAAAATTCGATAAAATTGGGAGACATGAGGTGATCAATTATTTACGATTCATGTTTTGAAGTTGTTTCAATGAACTTGTGAAGTTAGCAACCGCGGCGAGATCATAACCAATCAAAAAAAACCCTGAAGGAGGTTTCAGAATAATGGTTTTTAAGGCTATGGTTTACACAATAAATAAATTTTCTACTATAAACATAAATTATAAAAACTATTTTCCAAAAATCTTTTCAACATTAAAATGTATTGTAAATCGTTTTCCACATTTTATTTACAATTTGGATTTTATAATTAACTAACTCACCCCCTTTTTTTTTAAATACAGTTAGTCAAAGTTGTAAGAAAGCGTTTAAGTTTATAGAATTAGCGAACTATATTTCACAAATTCTATTGAGTGTTACAAGATACGTGGTTAATTCGTTCGTTAAGAGGGAGGTCTCGCTGTGAACTTCATTGAATAACTATCCCTCCTCGCTATCAATACAATTTATTAACTTTAAAAAAAATTTGTTACGAAGAATTCCAGCATTCTTTTTATAAAACTTGTTGCTCAAGTAGTCGAGTTTTTTGTTTACTTTTTTACAATCAACAATGCAGTGCGATAGGAAAGATTCTATGCGACATATTGATAACAATTGAGGACCGGAATGAAGATAAAAACAGGACGTTATTAGATCTATTCAGATCTATGAACGAAACTATAAACACAAACGAAAATATAAATATTGTATTAAATGATCGCGAGTAGTTTCCGTCGTGGATTAAAATATTCAAAATTGGGAATCGGTGTCGAAAATTATTTTATAAGTTTGTTTTTAAAATTTAATCACACACACAGAAAAAAAAAACAAAAAAAAAACAAACGTCTCACCTCAAGTATATCAACGGGCTTACTCTAGCGTAATATTTTAAAGCAGCTAACTTTAACCCAAAGGAAGCGGCTTCCCTTCTGTATAAACGCAGCTTCTAGCTGAAACTTTAGATGTACTAAAAAGAAAAAAACAAATCATTGTATGCTCAATGATAGCCTTGAATAAGTCGCACCTGCGGTTTAAAACTAACACTAACCAATCGCAGTCTGTTCTCTATCATAGAAGTTTTTATTTAAAAAACACGCATTCAAACGCTGTATAGTCGCTAACAGAGACCACAAGCATCTGGAACCTCATAGGCGGGAATAAACAATGGTAGGTTTTTAGATACACGTGTTGTATCAAAAATCCATAAAAACTTACTTTAAATTTTATTGAAAAAAAAATTAATAAAAATTTTTAGTAACGCCGACAACTGCAGTTTAATAACTATAACAGAAGTTGTCAAAAATCTTTAAAGGGAATGTCAATAAAAGAATCGTATTGAGTATATAGCAGAAACATCTGTCAGTTACAACGCCTACGGAGATTTGTTCAAAAAAAAAAAAAAAAAAAAAGTAAAAACGTTTAAAGAAACAAGGCGAACGAGAAGATGGTTTCCACAACATATATTGATGTAATTAGCAATACACATGAGAATTCCACACTCCAATATAAAATACTTCTACTTATTAAATACTTATTTTTAAAACAATATGCGTATTTATTATGTATATTTTCATTTTATAAATTTAAATACATATTAATGCATGATAATGTAAGGCTATGATTAATTTACGAGCTTTAAGAGTTAGTTGAGTTCCACGTCTGCATTTTACTCTTCGTTAAAAAACAAAGCTGACTGATTTAATTGTAAACAAATTGTTTTTATGAAAATCCGACGAATTCGATAAGAGAAATTCAAGAGATATTAACATATAACTTTTTAAATAGAGTATACTATATACAACTTTCTTCTCAGCAACGTCAAAATCTTAAATAAAAATGAATTTTAATCTGTTTTTTTTTTTTAAATAAAAATAAAATAAAACTAAAAACTTTTAACCACATATTCGTTATTTCACATAATGTTCACGGGGGTAACTAGTACACGCAAGGTTTTTTAATAGTTGTGTCAAGCATCTAAACAATCTACATTCCTTATTATGCGTCATTAGATCAAGTTACATGTTTTATTTATTCTTGCAGACGGAGGGTGACTCTTTCACAAACTTTTTTTTTTTGTTCTGAGTGGCATGGTCAGAGGAAGTGTGAAAACAAAACAATTGGTAGTCATTTACTAAACAATTTTATACTTCCTTTAACAATTTATCAAACTGTAATCTATAGATAATAAAAACATGCGAGCGAATTATGAGGATAAGTCAAATTTGCAAAGTGGCATCTAAAAAAGTTTAACAAAGGACAGTAAAAAAAAAACAAATTGATGCGCTGCTATGCTATAAAGTTTATATCTTATAAAACAATATTAAATTTGAAATTTGAAATCTTAAACGCTCTCTTTAATCTGCGAACATTGAATGCTGTAAACATCGAGCACTTCAGGAAATCGATAGACAGCTCAACAACGTCGTAACAAATATAAACGGATTAATAATATTGAGATTAAGTGACCTGTATTGTTAAGTCAACTGCTACGCTCTAAATGGCTTCTGTTTACGTCGTTAAATAAGTATTAACAACTCATTTATTTTATCGTATTCAGTATCGTTCATAAACATTGTAAGGACGTTTCAAGCAAATTTATTATAAAATTTATCTGGATCTGTTTAATATAATAAAACAATAAAATTTAATTTTATGTATATATGTATATATATATATATATAAAGATATATATATATATATATATATATATATATATATATATATATATATATATATATATATATATATATATATATATATATATATATATATATATATATATGCACAAAGTTTTCGTTAAAAAATGTTTTATCTAAAATTATAACAAATATCAGTTTATAAAAAGAAATATTTTTAACCTCACGTTCGCCAACAATCGATGAAACCTAAAAAAAATCTTTGAAAAAAAGTTTCTAATAAATAAATATTTGTTAAATTACTTACTTTTACAACGTCTAGCGGCGAGCATAAGGTTCCTGAAAGATTAAAACGTTTCGCTAGTTCAACTATCGTTCCTATCAGTCTACGCAAGTGAATCGAATTTCATAAGCAATCACGTGACGACAGTAGAACGCTGCTGATTGTTGTAATCATATCTTAAGTGTTTTTTGATTGGTTGGTATAAGTCTATTATAGTATTGTTTACAAGTTCATCATCACGGTTTATTTCTGATTCTATTGTAAGATTTGTTGGTTCTGAAACAGATGTTTTCGTGAAAAGAAGAATACAAACATAAAATATCCTTGGATCACATCCATCCGCGTAAAGAAGTTTTTAAAGTATAAACAAACACAGAACAAGGGGCTGCGTGTTTAAATAACGCAGTTCTTTTTACGTAAAGCTCATTAAATTGGTATCTGAAGTAACGTATAGGGGGTATAGATCAGCAATTAGCGGAATTAAAATGCTTATCTGCCTGATATTTTTTTGTGATAAATTAATTTAAAATAAAAAAACTTAAATTTTTTTTTTTTTTTTTAATCTTAAGGCTATTCCTTATACTACGCGATCTAAGTGGTAGGCTTGATTTTGTTTAATAATTACTTTACCTTAAGAAAACATTTTGTAATAAAAGACATTCAACTGAATAAAAACTTTTGGTTCTTTTCTTTGTTTTACATAATTTAAATATTAAATATAAGTTTAATAAAATAAGTATTTTTATATCGCTTTATTTTTCTTTTACTTTTTTCGAGAAAAAGTAAAACGTTCTAAACAAAATCGAACTTTCTTTTTTAAATTGTCCGACTAATATTTGACATTTACCATTTTTTTTTTTTTTAATAAAAAACTTTTTCAACGATGACAGATTCTCTTAATTATTTAATATCGTTAAGATCTAACGAGATATTTTATGACATGCCAACTTTATTGGAATGCGTAACAAAGGAAAGCGGAAACTCGGGTATACCATTAATATAATCAAGTGCATATAATTATAAATATTTGATGGGTGGACTTTGAATTAAAAAGATCTAGCTTGCATCGAAGATTTTTATAAATTTGTAAACATTACAATGTTTTCAAATGCTTATAATTTGGTGGAAACTATCTTCATCTTGAAATTAAATTATTTAGTGCTTTTATGTTGCGACAGCCATTCTTTCAAACTTAAATTATTAGGTCGTTTTTCATCCGTTATCAACGTTACAAAGAAAAAATTATAATGCAAAAAGATTTCTATAGTCTTCCTATCATTCAACGACGGTTCAAACAATTTCAAGAATAAAAAATAGTTAAATGAAGCAGTTCTGTAATGAGCAGTTTTTCATATATATATATATATATATATATATATATATATATATATATATATATATATATCAGGGGCGGATCCAGGATTTTGTAACTATGTGGCCAAATCTGGGTTCGCGGACGGCGCGAAGAGCTTTTTTTTTTTTAAAATAAGTGATAGGAAGAGATTGAGGGGGGGGGGGGAGTAAAGTGCCTTGAACAAAAAAATAAATAAGCCTCAATTTTTTACATTTGTTAACTTTAAACTATATCTAAAATTCCCAGATACAATTTTATATTTTCAGTTGAGAAAGAAGGGGTGACATCACCCTATTGATGTCATGATTTTTTCTGTTTTTAGTTATCTATTTAACAATAAAGTTATTTAAATTGTTGCCTTGGCTATTTAGTTCATAAATTAGACATAATACTTGTCTAACTCACTTAACGAAGTGCACCAACGAGAAGGTAAGCCATAGGACTTTGCACTCCATCAGTAAACTGTCATGTTGCCTAAGGTTAGCCCTCCATTTCTGGATTCTTTCCTTTTCTTGATAGGCAGTTTAAGTAAAGTATTAGTAATGTTGCCTAAGGTTAGCCCTCCATTTCTGGATTCTTTCCTTTTCTTGATAGGCAGATTAAGTAAAGTATTAGTAATGTTGCCTAAGGTTAGCCCTCCATTTCTGGATTCTTTCCTTTTCTTGATAGGCAGTTTAAGTAAAGTATTAGTAATGTTGCCTAAGGTTAGCCCTCCATTTCTGGATTCTTTCCTTTTCTTGATAGGCAGATTAAGTAAAGTATTAGTAATGTTGCCTAAGGTTAGCCCTCCATTTCTGGATTCTTTCCTTTTCTTGATAGGCAGATTAAGTAAAGTATTAGTAATGTTGCCTAAGGTTAGCCCTCCATTTCTGGTTCTTCCCTTTTTTTGATAGTCAATTTAAGTTAATTATTATTAATGTTTCCTAAAGTTACTGCTCTATTTATGGATTATTTCCTTTTCTTAATAAACAGTTTAACTTAAGTATTAGTAATCTTATTTAAGGTTAGCCCTCCATTTCTGGATTCTTTTTTTTTTTTTTTTTTTTGATAGGCAGTTATGCACAAATATTTTAAATATTTTTATAATTTTTTTTACTTTTATTTTTTAATAAATAAATAAACAAGAAAAAATATAATACAACAAATAAAGTAACAACTAAAAAAGTAACAACCTAAATCACCTGAAAACGCTCTCAACATTAGGAATTAATTGAAATAGCAAATGAAAAATTGAGTTTCACAGTTTATATAAAACAATGAATAATAATAATTTGCTAATGAAAAATGATTTTCACAATTTACATGTTTAAAACAATGAGTAGAAATATTTTGCTTTTGAAAAATTATTTATATTTAAGAGATACTTTTAAAACAATAGTTAATACTTTAAACATAACTTCAAAACTTTTATTTGAATAAAAACTCTAATTTTCTATCTCCTTTGGATGCAAATATTTCAATAACTCTGTTAATATCAGGAACTATTTCCTGATGAATAGACATTAAAGCAAGCCCATTCAATCTATTTTCTGACATAGTACTCCTAGTGTAAGTTTTTATTCTCCTAAGAGTAGATATTGACCTTTCACACTCACAAGTTGTGATTGGTATTGTAGCAAGTATATGAAAAGCCTCTAAAATGTTTGGAAAGCCTCTCATATCCATAAACTTTAATGTATCTGAAATAGTAGATGGTAATTCTGTCTTTTCTTTCCAAAATTCCTCCCATAACTCTAATTCAGCATTAATTGATGAGAAATGAGGAAGATCAGATTTATAAAAATTCAAAAAAATTAGGAATTTTTCTTTCCATGGACAAGATCTAAAATATTGCTTTGTTAAACTAGCAGGAATAGCACATAGACCATTATAAACAATTAAGCTCTCAATATCAAACCTATTTTCTAGTTCATTGAGAAGGTGATTGAGAAGAGGCAATGTAATAGAAACTTTAAAATAATCAGATACAGTATCACATATTTGATTATCTCTATGCTTCTGAACACCACATGTTCTAGGTTTTTTTTCATCAATATCAAATGTTTTAGCCAATGCAAGAGCAATTTTATACCATTTATTATGGTAAGCATCAGCATTTCTTTGCATTTCTCTTAAACGATTAGTCAAATTCTGAATTTCATCCAGTTGCTGGGAAATATCAAAAGATTTAGTTTGAAGAGTAACAGAAATTCCATAAAAGTAATCCATTAGTTGTTTAGTTAAAACTAAAGAAACTATAAAAGAAAAATTTGTCAATAACTTCATAAAAGAAGATGCTTTTGAAGATGTTTCTTTATTGTACTCTTTTAAATTATTGTCTTCCATTTCTTCAAAAGCAGAAAAAACTGCAGAATAATTATCGAAAAACACATCAAGTCCACGAAGCTTTTGTACCCACCGAGTTCGACATGTGTCAATAAGTTTTGCTTGACCAGGAAGAAGGTATTTCTTTAAGCAATTACTTCTTTTTGGAGAAAAGTTAAAAAAATAAGTTATGTCTTTAACTTGCTCAAGCAAATTTTTTACTTGCTGGATTTGGCAACTCTTCCCAACAACTAAACTAAGTTTATGTGAGGCACAGTGGACAAATAATGCCTTAGGATTAACATTTTTTATAACAGATGAAACACCTTTGTATTCACCTGACATTGAAGCAGCTCCGTCATAAGACTGGCCTCTGCATTTTCTTATATCTAAACCAAATTCTTTTAAAGTTTCAAGAATATTGGTAGCTATGCTTAAACCACTTGTACCTGTTTTACATTCAAAAAAGCGTAAAAAAACTTCCTTAATATTACTGTTCAAGTCAACATAACGTATGACAATAGAAAGTTGTTCTATTGTTGCACAGTCTGAAGCCTCGTCTGCAATAATGGAAAAGTACTTACTTTTTTTAATATCATTTAATAAAACTTCTTCAATTGCATTTCCACAACACTCAATTAACTCGTTTTGAATGGTCTTTGAAATATATGTGGAATTTTTGGGGGCAGAGAGAAGATGCTCCTTTAAAATTAAATCACCTGCATCAACGCTAAAATTTAAAAGCTCAATGAAATTACCTAGCCCTGTATTTTTTGAAGATTCTCCAATTTCTCCTTGATATTTTCTATCGTCTCTATGACCTCGTAGAGGCATATCACTTCGACCTAAAAATATTATAGTCTTAACAATTGATTCAAGCTTTTTTTTGTTTTCTTCTATACGCTGTTTCCTAGAACTATCTAAAGAAACTTCAATAGGAAAAGTATTATTTTTAGCTCTAGATAAAAGCATATTATAACAATGCATGGACTTGATGTGTAATCCGTCAACAGTTTTCTCATGATCGTTGAAAACTTTTACAGCATTACGCCAGGTATTATATGGTTCTTTAAACAATTTACATAATGCATATTTGTTTGGTAAATTTGTACCAAAAAGTGTACATGGAAGACAATATGCACCATCTTCAATTTTAGAGTAACAAAGCCAAGAAAAATCATCTAGCCATTTTAGCAAAAAACGTCTTTTTCTGCTTTTACCTGTTAAAGGGAATTGGAAACATTTATCCGGAACCCAGACATTATTAATTAGAGATAAAAGTTCATGATCATTTGTTCCTGATTTTAATTTTTCACCTTGTAGACAGTATGATGAAACATCATAGTTTGAATAAGATGCTAGCTGATTTGTATTTAATAAACTAATGTCAACAATATTGCTTTCCTTTTGTGGAACATTAGATTCAAGATTCATTTGCTTTTTATCATTGTTGTTGGCGTTTTTTGAGATAACTACTTCAGTTTTTACTATTTCATTACAAAAACTAGACTTATCTATATCTGAAGTGTTTTTAGAAACAG